TCTCTCTCTCTCTGCGTCCGAGTCACTGGCCGGTCGGCCCGGGGCCAGCAGGCTGAAGGGCGTAAGGCAATAAGCCGAGGATGGCAGCTCCGCTCTGCTTCACCCCGTGCGTGATGATCCGCAGGCCTGACGGAACCGCCTCGCTCGGACGGAAACGCTCGAAACGCTTCACGCTGCTTATCATTTCTGGGCGGCGTTGTTTTCCTCTCGGGGATCAACAACGCTTAGACCGGCTGCAATAAACGATGTGAAACCGTGGTGAAATATGCAGCGGATGTTCTAACGGGCCCGGCGAGGCGCGCCGGCGTGCTGCCGCTCTGCGAGGGGGGCTATTTGTGACGAGTGGCTGAATGCGGAAATGAGGACTGGTGATCGGGACCCGGCTGCTGGGCCTCCTGAAATGTCATATCTGAAAACTATGAACTCGTTCGCCCGACGGTCTGTTCGAGGGCCCGTCTGTGCGACTGCCCGTCCGTCCGTCTGCCTGTCTGTCTGGCTCGCTGACGGGCTGGCCGACTGGCGGCGGAATGTTTGCCAATAACTGCGCTATTATAAGGGCGGCTACCGGGGCGGGCGGGAGCTGGGCGGATGATTCCCCTTTCACTTTTGATCGGGAGCCGATGCGCCGCGGCAGAGCCCACGTCCTATAAATTCTTCAGGGAATAATCGATTTATTACCTACGTACGGGGTGTAACTGTAATTGTGAGGCCATTTAAGATTCCAATTTTGTCTGATTCTTTTTTGTTTGCATCAATTTGTTTTGTGTTTTCCACTGAAAATTTTTCGAACGGGATACAGGAAAATTTTCTACGGAAGATGTCGCACACTTTCAATTGACCATTTCAGTAAATGTCCGTAAAAGCGAGTGAGAAAGAAAAGAAGAACCAAACCGGAAATGTATTTGCAAATCGCAGCTTCATACCGAACTTCCTTTTAGCAGGCTCGACTGGGAAATCTTTGGTCCTCCTTTGTGCCCCATTTGAGTTATTGAACACGGGCATTGACTTAAATGGTCTATTTAGAATTTTAAACTCACAATCACTGCGTATCGACTTGAAATCGAATGACGAGCAAGAGTTGGAGTTTGTACATCAGCGGTCACGGATAACGACGGCACTTGTCAGTGCGAGTGAGACAGACTGAATTACGTGTCTGTACGGGGCTGCCTGGAAGTACGGGTTTATACGGAGACGCCACGAACTTCGTGGTTGTAGGTTTCAAGTGTCGATGTAGGGTATTCCAGGCAAGGTATTACGAACGAATTGTTTTATGACAGCACAAAATTCTTCAAAATATAAACGTGAGATTCATAATAGGAACAGTGGCGTTCATAATATGAACACCTTAACATTTTAAGAGTGAGAGGAAAAAACGGCATCCAGATTTTTTCCAACGGCAATGGCCCTAAACTAAAACGGTAATCGAAAACCTTTATCAACCCGGAAAACTTCAACCTTCGGATAGGGACGCATCCCCACGAGCGACAAAGATCTGCGTAAAAATGTATGTTGAAGTCATCACGTTCGAAATTTAAAACATTTTGCGCGGATGTCGCTGTGTTTACACGTGTAACTATCCATCTAGGCGCCCGTCCGAGAGCTGCTCCGCTCTCCACGCCTCTAATGGCCTGTGCCGGGGAATTCCCAATCTCGGGGTGTGTATTCTCACGCCCCGCCCCGCCACGCCGCGACTCCTCTGCTGCCGGCGCCTCGCTCCGCGTACCTAGCATGAATAAGACCCGGGATCAGGAGGATCTCGCAGGGGAGGGCAGTGAGAGAGAGAGAGAGAGAGGGGGGGGGGTGAGAGACAGTGGCCCCAGGGCGCCGACCGACGGGAAGGAAGAGGGGCTCCAATCGTTGGGTAATTAGTTTACTTTAGAGAGGCTGGTGCCCCTCCCGTCCCCTCCCCCTCCCCCCTTGTCCTCCCCATCGCTGCTGAGGCACTTACGCCCCCGCCGTGGCCCGTGGTAGTGGACACGCCAGCACAGTCGGGACCCGGCCGGGCCCGCGGCGCCGCGTGCAGCCCAAGGCAGTTAATGCTCTTATGGAGGATAATGGCACTGACTAAACTCCCCCGCTGGCCGGCAGCTTGCCCCCGCGGGCCAAGGGAGTCCAAGTCGTAAAAATGCGTGCACTCACAGGTGGGAAAGGCGCAGGGCGAGAGCGGTGCGGCGATAATATTAAATACACCGGAGTGAACGTTATCGAACACCTGCAGAGCCAGTCCTCTAATGGCCGTTGCGAATGAATTATCCGAGTAGTATTCGGCCGTTTGTCTTATGCCCTAATAGACGCCCTGGGACCGACAGAT